GAGAGAGAGAGGGGGGGGGGCAATTTTGAAAAGAGAAAGGAGGGCCACTTGTCGTAAAATTTCCTTCCATTTGGTGTAATATTCAAGCTTCTGGATTTATTTTGAAAAAAGTTATGAGTATTTGAAAATCAGTGGCTTCTGGTCGATGCACCTGTAGGACCAGAAATTTTCGAAAACCCTAACCAATTTTTTTTGCAGTTTCAAAGAGTTTTCAACTGTATTTTCTGAAATCAGTCTCTAATTCTGGCTTAATCCAATTAAGTTCAATTCTAAATTCATTGTATCGCTTGTGTTATGGCGCGTTCAAAGTTGATTTCCAGGAGCAATTTCCTGGAAAAACGCTGTCCAAAGCTGCGATTGTTTTACAGATTTACAGTAACAGTAAACTACTGTATCACTCGTTTTGACTGTGTTCTTCCTGTTGATTCATGTCGATTTACGGCGGGTCTTGAAGCGGAGGCCTCTGGAAAACAATGCCAGCTTTGGACAGCGTTTTTCCAGGGAATTACTCCTGGAAATCAACTTTGAACGCGCCATTATGAATTGTGAAGGTCCTGAAAACAAATTCTGAAATGAGATATTTCAGCTCAACTCGACCACTCATCTGATTGACGATGTTAATGAGCAGAGCAAGTATGTCGCTTCAAAGATAGCACAAATATCTGGAGAATCGGGACCCGAACAGTACGAAGGTCTTTATTCCATCCAGACCATGCTCTGCGAAGGATCCTTCACTCTCTGGGAACAAAACTTTGCCAAACTTCTTATTGCCGTTTTCCATGTGCTGTCAAAGAGCGATTCAGATGCAAATAAGAAAGTAGCCCTGCGTGTTTTGACGAAAATGTGTACTTCACAAGCATCTCGTCTGTTTGACTCTACTGAAATGGCGATTTGTAAAGTTCTCGACGCTGCTGTAAACTCAGCAGAAGGAACTATGAATGTGACAGCTGATGATTGTCTCAAAACTCTCGCTACACATCTTCCCCTGGCAAAAGTCGTGAATATCTGCAAGGTCATTTGAATGAGGTTAGTTAGTGGTTTGATGTGATTCTTGACCGCCAGTTAGGGTTTCCAGGAGAAAATTCAAGAAGCGAAAGCTAGCTTGGTGCTGAAAATGATGACACGGCTGTTCGAAGGTCTGCAGGCAGATGAGCTGAGTCCAATCATCGAAGATTTGGCGCCTTGCGCTATTCAGGTGAGTTAAATTAAAGGTGGTGTACGGTGAAATTTTTATTGCATCAAAATGTGCAGAAATGTATGTAGATTGACATAAAAATAAAGAAAAAATTCCTTCATCGAGAAAAACGCATCGAAAAATACGCTGAAAGCCCTTAGGACTACGTTTTTTCTCGGCCGCCCG